TGATTTTCTGAACTCCCCAGGGACGCCCGCTGCGTTACGGATCGTTGGGAGACAGCTGAGTGAAATAGCAGGAGCGGGAGTCCTGCGGCAATGGGCAGGGGAGGGCTGGGGGCCGGTGGGGGCTCCGAGGCTGGACTGCGCTGTGAGGGGCTGCAAGCATGCGTGGTGCCTTGCGTCACGTGGGGTGGCGGTTGTTACAAGCAATCTCAGCGTTGGTTACACCGTGCCTGAAGGGTGCTAGGTGCACCGACGCAACGTCCTGGAGACCTCGGGGGAATCCATGAGGAAAAGCCAAGAGTGGCTGCAGCAGCCTAGAATGGATATGACCCTGGCACCGGCCCCCTCCCCTCTGCTGTCTCATCTCTGCTTGGCCTGAAGAGCATCCGCAGAGCTGCTTACAGCTGGGTTTGTTGTCAGTTCTGTAATTGTCACCGTTTGGTCCCTCCTTCCCGCTGTGCCAGTTTGCCAGCGTCCCGGGCCCAGCCGAGGAGCACGCTGTGGTGTTGGTGGGGTCCCTCAGATGCCCTTATTCTGTCAGTGCCGAAGGCGGCAGCTACGATTCTCATTTCTTTTCCAGAGGGGTGCTTTTCCTTAGGGACGAGAGGGTGGGGTTCAGCAAACCAAAAATTCCTTTAGGAAAATGTTTATGTGCATATATAATTATACACTGCAGAGGAGAAAGAGGTGCAGGGGTTTTTGCTTTCCTTTTGTTGTTTGTTTCACATCCTCACATTCGTGTTGCGATTAAATCTGAAGTCTTCCTCCGGATTTGAATCATCGCTACCGACGGGTCAGAAAGCATGCAGCCACAGCAGGGCTCATCGCCACCAACCCTCCCCAACAGATTTACAGGTCACAGGGGTGTAACAGGGCGGCAGCTTTAATGCATCTGCCCTGGGCAAACCTCCCCCCGTCCTGCCCCACACCCCGTCGGACCTAAAGGACGCAGGAGCTTCAGAGAACAGGACTTGAAAGTGCTGCCCAGTTTTGAATGCCACGGTCCCAGCTGCTTCCAGCGAAGCACAGCATTTGAGAACTCACGAGATTCTTCCCCCATGAAAAAATGGTGACAGGAGGAAATCCAGTCACACGAGATTTCTGCTGGGTCCATTAGATAAAGCAAACGAAGCAGCAGAGCTAAGAATGACAGGAGAAGAAAGGAATGAAGGGAGAGCTAAGGAGGAAGAATAAAGAAATTAAGAAGGATTTGTGAGAAAAAGGATGAGAGAGAAATGTAATGGAAACATTCATTATTATTCAGAATAATATTTAACACTTTGATAGAATTTTCTTTCCAGGATCTCAAAGCACGGAGCCAGTGCTAATGAATTCCGCTGCACATCGCCCCATGAACTAGGAACTATTGTTGCCTCCATTTTGCAGAAGATTGGAACTGAGGCATGGAGGGGACTGGACTTGGCAAAGGTTCTCCAGAGCCACGAGGAGAACCAAGGAGCTGGAGGTCCCAGATACCTGCTCTTGTATCAGTAACGCTGTTCCCTCTCAGGGTAGAAAAGTACATTGCGAATGAAGAATAGTAAAAGAGAGAGGGATAGAAATGGAATGGAAAGGAGGTGTGAGAAAGAAACGGGAGAAAGAGAAGAGACAGGGGAATGGAGGAGAGAGACGCGAATCATAGACTTCACTGGATTTTGCATAGTGATTCTTCCTCCAATTCTTTTTCATTTTTTTCCTGTAAAACTTTTTAAAGAAAATTAAAAAAAAAAAAAAAGCCACCAACAACGAGCAACTGTTGGCCTGTTGGGGAAGGGTTCCTTCCAAGGTTTGGCTGTTCCCTCAGGTTCTGGATTTGTGCTGTGCTTTATTGAACACATTGTTTTGTTTTCAGTGAGCACAACGAGACTTGCACAGTACAGACAGCGTGTTCCTTATCTACAGGATGAGACGAGGCTGTTTTAATAGCTACTATGATGAAGATGGAGATGAACTTATATACAAGAGGAATTGCCTTCACATTACACATATTATCTTCCTACAAAGCAGCAATTGTTTTTGCAAATAACATAATATTAAATAATTGGTAGAATTTTTGCGTTTCCTGCATAGTCCAGTCTAATGGAATCTATATGAATATTGATGGTTTTCTTCTGCGTAATATCACCACATAAATCCCTGTGTCAGCTACTAGACTTTAGCTATAATACTGCTTTACAATGCATCCACCGTCAATCAAAACAACCAGCACAAGAAACTCTTTGGCAAATGTAATTCAGTACATTCGCATGGGGGTCTACAGATGGCGGTGGAAGAGGATTAGACTGCCCAGTCCTTTGCGTAATTCTGCTCTCCTTTGAATTTTCCTGGTCAAACTACATGCTGTACTTACGGACTTTCCAGGCCAATCCAATGCCTGGTGGAAATCCTCTTTTACCAGTGGAGTTGCACCAACAACGGATTTGGCCCTCCGAGGGTCAAGTCAAGCCAGCCATGAGTGAGCCAGCCAAATCCTGCTTTCATACCCTAGCTTGTGTCTCAAGTTTAGCAGATCGCCATGAAAACACCAAGCATTTCTGAGCTGCTAGCTTCTCTCGAGGTGCCCCTGGGCTGCAGGTGCCAGGCTTGAGAGCCTCCTCGTCTCCGGCCTCCTCCGGAGGTTCTCCTTGGTGGTCCTGGGATTTGCTGCCTCTGCCCCGACCACCTGCCAAGTGACACCAGCAGAGCAAGGGCTGTACCAAGAGACTAAAAGGGAGACTTTCCTAACAGGGTCCAGCAACTGTCTGGTGTCTGTGGAGGAAAACAGGAGCGAGGAAAGTAAATTTTTAAAAATTACCCAGAATTTTCTTCTCGTATAGAATAAGATGAGATAAAGGGCCAAATTCTGGTCTCGGCGACAGTGTACCAACCCTGCTGTTTGCAGCAGGTTACTCAGAGGTAAGACATGCAGAATGACACTTGTAATAGATCAGGAGTAACCTCTCTGATTTTATTCTGTACAGGAACAGATTTCAGCTCTA